TGTCAACAACTGGCTTTCTGTACATTGGCAAAAAGGGTCCAGTTTCAATTTCTGCAATGCCTCCAACCAGTTTGGGTGTTGTTCAGCAAAAATGACACATTCACTCAGATACAGGGAGGGAGAATATGCTCCCCCTCCATGTGGTGATTCACTCTACAGACACTCATAACGGCTAACGCTGAACCTCCTGGAACTCAGTCCAGGTCTCTCTCCCATGTGGTGGCAGGATTCCAACTATTGAACAACAGCACTTCCTCCTAGGGTCTGCATTGGCAGAAGACTGGAGTTATGAACCAGAGCCAAGAATGAGCCCAGGCCCTCCAGTGGGATGCATGCTAAATGTCCTCTCTGAACACATACTTTTAGATATGCAGACACACACAAAACAAAGGAATCAGAAATGAAAGCTGAACACATGAGAGTGGAGCATATGAAGTCTCAAGGAGACACACTCTAGCTGTCTCTACAGAGCTACCAGGTCCCCAGCTATGATATTCAGTTGCAGAAGGCATATCTTGTTTCCCTAAGTGTCAAGGTCTTCACCTTCTGACAAATCTTAACAGCAAATTGAAAGCTTATTTTTTTGGAGTGAATCTAAAGCCAAGCCCTATATTTGCACATTTCCTAACTCATTTTATCTGTAGACCTGGTCAATGCATCTTAGTTCATGGAGACAATGAACTTTCCTTGAGATGTCTGCATTGGATAATGCATTCTGTAGCCTCGTGGCTGTGGCTTTTGATGTGGAGCTTGGGGTTGGAGCAAGCAATGATAACACTGCGGGACAGGTGACTCCACAAGCAAAAATGTTTCAGAAGCTTACACCGAGTCCCTAATGAGAAGATAACCTTTCTCTCTGGCAGAATTTAGCACCAGTGTCTGTGATTGATGTGGGGCTAGAAAGAGAATGGAGTCTGCCAGAAATTAAGACAGGAATGGTTCTCCTGCTGTCCTTTGTTCCCAAGGATGAGAGTCCATGGTGCTGTTCTCCAGTTTCTAAACCTTTGGAGTCCAGCTGATTTTTCAAACTGAGCTAAACTTCAGATGAGAAACTTTAGCCTCCAGCCACATGCTGTTTGTGGGAATGATAATCCACACACACACACACACACACACACACACACACACACACACATCAGGATAGATATTATGCTGCTACTATGCTTTAAGCCATCAATAAGGCAGGTCTATGACTTCTCTTAAAATCCATTCAATTCTCAAAACTCCACTCAAAATTCATCAAAGTGGGAGCTGGGCCGCCCTTTGTCTTCAGGAGTCCATAGAGCTTGTGTGAGTAGAGCAGTCTGGAAATGAGGAGCAAAACTTTGGAGTTGTGCTTAGACTTGAAATGTAACATTTCTTAGTGCGTTGAATGAATGCATGACATATAAAACTCTGGAATTTGATTTCTAATATAGGATTCCTAAAATAAGAGTCATGATGTCTCCTTTGTACATTTCTTTCGAGTTAAATGGTTAAACGAAAAATATTAAGTTAAGCACTAGTAAGAATTTTATTGGAACTAAAAAAAAAAATAAAGGTTAGTAAATTGAGAGCAGCAAGGCACAGTGTGTTTAATGAAACATGTGCTTCCACTGTTCTCTTCTGCCCTCTTATTATTCTTGGCATCTATCCCCATGTCACAGGCTGAGAAAAACTCTGAACTTCAGGATCTCCAGCTGTGAGGACCCCTTCCCCAGATCATGTCTGGTTGTTCACTCCCAAGAATCTAAGTTTCATGGAAAAACATCCATCAATTACAAAGGAACACTTATTTCTATTGATGAAAACAATTCACATTCAGTGCCATCTTATGGAGCATTTATGTTGTGTCAGGATATAACTTAGCTCAAAAAGTCCCTGGTTATGATCTTGCCATCTTTGTGGACAAAAGGATCTCCAAATACACATTTTTGGATCCTAGAATTTCGAATTTGGAGGACCTTTTGAGCTTACTCTAACCAACCCTCCACTGCATGCATCACACCATGCTAGAAACAGCTTTCTTAGCCCTGTAGAAGGCTGATCTGGGGATCAAGACTCCCTAGTCTCTCACCTCTATTTGGTCAGAAAATGACTATCACCTAACCAAATCGTCACTGTGCTTGAGGGTCTGGCTCATCACATGTAAAATGAAGTGTTGGAAGGCATCGTCTTCCCATTGCTGATAGTCTCTGGTCCTTATTAATGTTAGTTGTCACTTTAATGTGTTAATTGTCCGTAAGCAAATACAGTACCTTCCTTGTCCTAATTCGCATTGAGGAGGTGTTTTGGCTTTGATGAGTCCACAGGATGATTTTTGGTTCTCTTATGTTTCCTTCCTTTTTCTGTGCCTTCTTTTTATCCCACAACTATTGATTGCATTCACAGCATATCTGAGGAAAACATAATTTTGCATCTATACTCCAGGCCTCCAAAACATAGAATTCCAGATGGCTCAGTCAGATTTGAATGTAAAAAGTAACAAATGGGATTCTTTCCTTTCTAAATTACTTTGCAGTATGAGCATAGGCTTTCTTGGGGAAACACAGACCCCAGGAGACTAAAAGACTGTTCAGTGCAATTGCATAAGAATGAAATGTTTATGCATGATAACCAAATACATAAAAGGAAAAAATGCAAGAATAAAGATTTGTTTGATTTCTACATAGAACTCTCTTGCAAATGTATACATTCATTAAATTCAGATAGACTGCTTTTAAAAATATGAAGTATATGTTGAAGGGAAGTTACATATCACATATGCTGAAGCCCTCATATTTGCAAAGAGAGGACCAAACCCAGAGGGGCAAATATGCGCACTGAGCACCAAATAGTTGGTAGGTGTGAAAAGGAGTGAGCATTCATGCTTCCTAACTCCACTTCCCATGATTAGTTCATGACGTAGCATGAGGCTCAAGTCTTTCCAGTTCCACCCAAGTTGTTTACACTTCAAAGTTGTGTTCTCAATGTTCAAGACCCAATAGATGGGAGTTACCCACTTCCTTTCTGCAAAGAAAATTCTCTATTCCCTTAAGAGGTGCATTCAGAAAGTTTCTCAAACAATGTTTTCACCAACTTGACCGAGAGACATTGGCTCTGGAGGAAGGATGGGACAAGGTGTCATGTTCTGATGTCTAGTAGGGTTATAGAAGAACTCTTTCCAGTTCTGCTTTAGCTCTCCCACCTCCATGTTCACCCCTGCTCCACAAGCAGATTTCACTGACCTCTCTCATGTTATTCTAACCACTTTCTGATCCACTCCAACGTTATCTCTAACGTTCATCTGTCTTTACCTCTTTCTTTTCCCATCAGACACCCCAGTGATGAACTATAGCATCTATTAAATATTTTTATTTATTTTGAGGAAATATTTTCAACTTTATTAATGTTAAATTTTATATGTGATTGCAAGACATTTTGAGGGCAAATGTCAATGAGGTCCAAACAGTTCACACATATATCTGATCTCCATCAGGGATTATAGGCCATGGTCATCACCTGCAATATTTCTTTGTGCTCCTTCTGAGGCAATTTTCAATTCTAATCTTAACCTCAAAGCAATCATTTCCTTTAGGGAACTGCAGATTAGTTCTTCATTGTGCCTGGCTGTCCACATCTGTGCTGGTGAAAAAGCTTCCAGGCCTGGGACATCCTGAAGGCCTGCCGGACCTCGCCTGCCCCAGCCATTCCGCTCTCTCGGTTATTTTAAAATAAATCCTTTTTGGTAGGTTGCTATCAAAGTATCTTGGAAGATTAGAAAGAGGAAAATTACATTGACTGAAATGTAGAGCCTGTCCTAACTAGAGCTTTATATATTCTGTCTCATTTAATGTGTTTGGCAAGCTGTTAGGATGAGTTTTACAAGTGAGAAAAATGAGATCCAAAGAGGTTAAATAACTAGCTGAAGGTCCTGAGAACTGACAAAATTTAGGCTTGAAAATCAAATCCCTTGATTAAACCGTGCTGTGACTCTGCCCAGCACTGTCTTAAGTACATGTTCTTTTTCTGTTTGATCTCTGTGTCCTGCAATAACACCTGCTCACTACACAGTCGATCCTTAAAGTGCTTTCAGGATCCTTGGACATTATTACACATTTGGTCATGCTGTGTCTCTGTCTCAGATCCTCCTCTGTGGATTACATGACACTGGAAGCCACACATGTCCCAGTTGCCTACAGAATGGCGAGAGAATATTTTAAGACATCTTCTGCCCCCTTGTGGCCTTTATTAGAAACGAAACCTTCAATCAGAAGAGGAAGACTAGGAAGGGATCAGAGTTGAGGAAAGAGTTTGGTTGTCAAAGTAACCATGGCATTTCTTCCACCATCCACATCAGTCCACCATTCCCTCCCCCATTTCCTTCCAAATTGTTTCTCATCATTGGGATGACACCATATCTCTGATTCCCCTCTGTCTCTTTGCTCTCTTTTTTGCTACGAGGAATGAGAGACAGTAGAACAGCAAGTGGCAGTAAACTGCCACCCCAAACAGGAATTTCCAAAAATCCCTAAATGCATATCCTCACAAATCCATTCTTTCAATCGCCACGTGAACAGTCTACTAAAAACTTTTCTTCTTCCCTGGCTCAAAGTCTCATGTCCAAATCTACACAAGCTGTCCAAGATTCAGTGGAAAGATCACTGGCAGACGATCTTCAGTGTTCAGATTAACCCATTACACGTCGCCGTGGTTTGTCCACCAGTGCGCATCAGAGCACATCCTGCTGCAGGTGGATCTTGCTTCTCTCAGCCACGAATACCCAGACCCCTCCCCAGTGAAGACTAGCCAGAACCTGGGGCAACACACAGTCCACGGGGAGGGCTGAAGTCTAAGAGCCTAGGACCCATGTCAGCCACACATGGGATGTTTCACAACATTCAGAGAACTCACAGGTTCTGAACTTATGCATCCTTTGTGGTTTCCCTCAAAACATGGTAAAATACTTTTGGAGAACGCTGACATGGTTTGGCTGCTCTCACATTGTCTGTGATTGTCAGAAATTCCACCCAGTGCCTGACTCAAGACAGCAGGAGGACTCCTGAGGGGTGGGGTTTTTGTACAGATGTCTGCCCCACCCAGCACAGTGTGAGACTCCAGGCACAGAGGTAGAAGCCAGAGTCATTGAGGAGGAGCTTCTCTGAGCTCAGGATGAATTGGTCATCCTTGGGCCTGGAGGCTTTCAGGTTCTGGAACACCTGAGGGTCTACCTGGCCCACACTAATGGAGAAGAAGAGAGCCTGAAGAGCTTCTCCTGCAGTCTGCCGGTACCAGTACAGGTTGGGGTTTGACGTCCCCTTCACGGTACACTCCATGGACAGTGGGCTGCCCACGAGCTGCACCCTGAAAGCTGGTGATTGCTGAATGGTCTGAGCTCTGATTCCTGTGGAAAGCGAAAAGTGCTGATTAGATAGGAAACACCCCAGCCTGGCTTGCCTTCCATCTGGATAAGCCCTTCCTTCAGTCAGGCATCTGGAACCCACGACAGGAGTAAGCCAAGGGTGCAGAGTGCAATGAAGTGGAGAGGGGACAGGAAAAGCCAGAAGTGTAGCCTCTTTCCTAGGGGTTACAGACAGCCCAGCACAGCAACTGCTCAGGCTAAAGCCCTTTCTCCAATGCAAGCTCTTGGTGGAATGTACTCAAGAATCTCAAACCCACAGATGAGACAACAGATTCACAGGGTTTGAAGACAAGCTTGCAGAGAGCATGGCACCCACCCAGAAAGGCACCAAGAAGAAGGACAAGGAGAGAGCAGGGCATGCTTCCAGCCAGCTCGTGTTCAGCTAATCTGGTCAATGCCTTGTCCTCTGGGGAGCGATGTAGCTACGTCCCACGCTGCTAGAGATCTGTGGCCTGAGCAGAGGAACCACACCCCTTCAGCCGGGAGGAAATGAGGCTTTTTTTTTTTTCCCCTCAGTGTGTAGTGTGTCATCCCTACCCTCCCTGGGAACCAACTGTACCCTGCACTTGTTATCATGTTTGCAATCTTGCTGATGGAATGCAAATCCATTTGCTGACTCAATATTTACCTGTCAACAAGAGGTAACTTTAGCTCTCCCGCTGGACATCAAATTCCTCTGTGACATCAGAGAAACTGACACCAGCAGGATGGTGGGAAGAGATTGTAATTTATCTGATGTAAGAAACTGGTTTCCCACACAGATGCCACCTAGGTCCCTGAGAAGAAGGTAACACCAGACGGGGGCGCTAGAGATTCAGATCTTCATTCAAATCCTGACAGAAGCGCTTCCTTTCCGGGGAAGGAAGCTGCCAAGATAGTCAACCAAGGGATCATTCAACCATATTCATCCTTGGCAGACAGGATTTGAGACCTGGGCAGGCAGAGCTAACCACTTCACTGACCAAGGTTGCCCTGTGTGTCCACGTACCTCTAACAGACAGACTAAATCTATTTCATCCTCTGAATGTTAACAAGAGGTAGAAGCAAGCTCACAGGGATTGGGACCACCGAGATCTGGGTTCTACTACTTTCTGACCAAGGAGTCTCAATTTCCTTGTCTGCAAAACTAGGATTATAATTCTTACAGATGCCTGAAAGATGTATTTTTCTCTCATGTGCTACAGGCACCCTTACTTGTGCTGGCTTTTTTGAGCTGACTCCAAGACAAACCTGAGCCTACAACCAAAAATAGAAGATTTATACTGGGCTGAGGGACAGGGTGCTGGCTAAAGCAATGACAATAACACATGAAGCTCCACCAACCCAGTGATTAATAACAGCGCAGGCTGAAACCCTGCAAGGCAGCTGGTACAACCTCATTCAGCTGAAAAGAGACATGGGACTCCAAGATGCCTGGAGGACACCCGCACATCCCTTACAACCTCCTCTTCCCTTTCTCTGTCATGGCCTGCTTTCTGAAGACTTTATTTTCAAAGCAATTTTCGATTTGGGTTGGATGCAGTAAAGTGGCTTAAGGGGAGGACCTAAGAAAGGAAGCAATAGAAGTGGCTGAACAGGGAGAATGAGCCTGAAGCAAATCAGGCATTTGTAACGCTTTCCCATTTCATCAGGGTCTAGTGATGTAATGCACTTGTTATTGTTGCTGATGCTGCAGGAACACAATTCCAACTCTATGTTAAAGTGCTTGCTTCTGACAGTGTCAGCTGTAGCACAATTTTTGCTTGCAATTGAATGTACTCTACTTGTGAGGGGTGTATTTCGGTTTTTAATTTTTTAATGTGATTAATCCTCTTATCACATTTATTTAAAAAGTAAATCAAGAGTCCAGTGTGATGACTCAGTGGCTAAATTCTCACATTGCAAGTGCTGGGATCTCATCTGGGTGCCAGTTCCCACATGAGATCTGGCTGCTGCTATTTACATTCAGCTCCATCCTCATGCCCTGGAAAAGCAGTCGAGGATGGCCTAAAGCCTTGGGACACTGTGCCTTCATGGGATACCCAGAAGAAGTTCCTGGCTCCTGGCTTCAGATTGACTCAGCTCTAGTCATTGTGGCCATTTGGGGAGTGGGCCAGTGGATGGAAGATCTTTCTCTGTCTCTCTTTCTTTCTGTGTTTCTGCTTTTCTGAGAAAAATAAATCTTTATGAACAATAAATCAAGAAGTAAACAAGGCATACAACTGGTGAACATTCAGACCCTGTGAAGAGAAATAGCTGTTAGCTGACCAAGAATGTCAATGATGTGTACAGTTTTTTCAATTCAGTATTTACACATTTCTTAACAGGAGTTGACACAGTAGCTATGCATGACAGGATAGCAGGCGATGAGCCCAAAATAAATTTGCATGCACACAGCCTATTTCTCCCTTTCTTTCCTTCTCTCTTCCCTACTTGCTTCTGCTATTTTTAACGAGTCAGGCCTGAGAGGAATGAGGGTTGATAGACAAATAACTGCTCTGACTCTTGATGAGACAGTGTCATGTTTTCTTGTTGCTAGCAGCTTGTCACGCCACCAGAGGCTACAACACAGAATGCAAATCGTCATCTACCTTGGCTCCTCTCTACCAAGCAGAGAGCAGCATCATCGTCCTCCACCGAGATGGTACAGCAGGCTGGAGGGTTGAGAGATGCGTCAGTTAGCTCAGAGTCACCAGATGGCCCCTCACTCCCCTGATCATCCTCACAACTCGAGAGCTTGGAGCCTCTTTCCACTCGGTTCATGCCTTAGGGAAATATTTCCTCATTTTCCATTGCCACCTGTAATACTGCTTACTCATTCAATCATTTGATCCATTCATATATTGAAATGAGGATGTGGATAAGAGTCTTCTATTCTGTGGCTGCTGCTCTCCAAGAGGAAGGGCCTCAGCTAGACATCTGGCCTCGATGAGAAGCTGTCAACCAGGCTAGCTAGCAGAAACCTGGCTTGACCTACACTCTGCTTTCCCCCTGCCTTTCTGCTGGGTGCTTTAGGGCAAGTTCCCCTCTCCCTGGCAAGCCTTCTCTCAAACCCTTTTGTACCATCCTGGATTTTTTTATCCACAGTACTACAGATTCTATTTTATTTTTCTTAGTTTATTTGAAAAATGGAGAAATACAAAAGTTCCCAGCTAGTAGTTCACTTGTCACATGACCACACTATCCAGAACTGGTCAGGCTAGCCAGTCCTCAATCCAGTTCTCCCACACTGGTGGAAGGAACCCAGTTATCTGAACCACCTGCCTCTTGAGATCTGCAATTAGCAGGAAGCTGAAGTCAAGAACTAGAGGCATGAGTTGAGATCAAGTATCCCAAGGTGACATGCAGCATCTTACCCACTAGGTTAAATCCTCATTTCCTACTATAAATTTTTAATGAGTCAACATTGACATTCCTTCATACCTAAAGAGAATGCCAATAAGAGCAAACTCATTTTTTAGTATAGAACTCCCTGCCAAATATTAGATTTGAAAGATACTTGCAAATTTGTATTTGTCCTCTCACAAGAGTTCAAAAGTACCTGGGTTGATGGAAATAAGAGAGGGTAAGTCAGTCAAAGAGATATTCCTAAATTTTCTCAGCTATACCCTCTCTGTACCTGTTGTGGTTTGAAAGGGTCTCCCAGGTCCAGCACTATGACTCAGTGGCTGAATCCTCACCTTGCAAGTGCTGGAATCCCATATGGATGCCAGTTTGTGTCCAAGCTACTCCACTTCCCATCCAGCTCCCTGTTTGCAGCCTGGGAAAGCAGTGGAGGATGGCCCAAAGGCTTGGGACCCTGCTCCTATATGGGAGACTTGGAAGAAGTGCCTGGCTTCTGACTCAGCTCCATTCACTTGTGGCCACTTGTGGAGTAAACCTGGAGACAAAAGATCTTTCTCTCTGTCTCTCCGTCTCTCTATAAATCTGCCTTTTCAGTAAAAGTAAATGAATCTTTTAAAAAATGAAAGAAGAGAAAAACAAAACACCTACCACAAAAGCATATGGTGAAAACAATTTCCACTGTAATAGTTAAGAGTTGGAACGTTAAGGTGTGGTCAAGCCATGATGGCTCACCTGTCATCAATGGATCAATGCTGGTATTATAGAAATGGGTTTATTTAGACGGATAACTTCCATCTGTCTCTCCTCTCTTCTTTTTGCTCATGCAGCTCCTGCCATGAGACAATCACAAGAAGTTCCTCACCAGATGCCTTTGTAAGGAACTAGATAGAACTTCCAGAGCTGAAAAATAAAACACTTGAGCTGAAAATTTTGCCAGGCAAAAAGATTAGACATTGAAGGAGGAAATATCCTTGGACATACAAAAAGTCAGCAGAGATAGTCACAGCAATGCAGACAGGTAAGGACTGACCAGAGAGAAAGCACTTCAGTGACCTTCAGACACGCAGCAGCTTAACATAGATAAAATCGGAGTCTTCTATGTTGAGAAAAGATGGGAATAGAAGAAAAACTTTAAAAAGGTTGCAGATATGACAAATTATGTGAAGCTACAGATTCAAGAAGCTTAGCAAAACGTAAGCAGGGAAAAAAGATCAAGAAAAAATTCCCTTCAGTTATGAACACTGTAGCCTTGATAACAATGACAGATTCTAAGTGGGTCATTGAGAAGGCAAAAATTTAGTCTGTTAAAAATGAGATCGAAAAGAACAGGATAGGAGAAGCTAAGTGAACAAAAGTACAAGGGCTAAAATACAGGAGTTAGAGAAGAATAGGATGAAAACGAATTCAGACAGTGGTAAATAATGCTTGAAATTGTTACTATGGTAAAATCCACTAAGATTAAATATCAATGTCTGATGAGAATCTCATGGATACATGCTGGATTTTTTTCTCTGGGGTGAAACTGATAACTGAGCAAACTAAATGTAGTGACGTTTTTAGGCTTTGGACAACAGGTGGAACAAGGCAGTGATGGAATAAACGAGATGTGAAATAAATTAGGTGATTCTTATGATGACTCCAGCCTACATTTGCAATACAAAAAGGGACAAACCAGAGGCTAGCAGTCTTAATTGAGGACAAGATATTTGAATTCAAGGTTTGGGGTGCCCAAAATGGTTCCAATTTCAGGGAAGGGTACCAGACACCTGCTTTAGGGTTGACATTGTACCAGACATAGCAGATAACGTCACTCGCTGCCTGTGCCAGGAGCCTATATGGCTGCCAGTTCATGTCCGGGCTGTTCCACTTCCAATCCAGTTCTGTGCTAATGGCCTAGGGAAGCAACAAAGGATAATTCATGTGGCAGATCCAGGCAAAACTGATTTCTGGCTTTGGTCTGGCCTCATATTCTCTCTCTCTCTCTCTGTAACTCAGCCTCTCAAGTAAATAAATAAATCTTTTGAGAAAGTAGTTAAGCACTCCCAGTGAAATTTTCACTGTTCTGATAAGTGCACTTATTTGAGACAACTGCCCCAATCCAGGAAATGATACAAGAGCTTCAGC